GATATATAGATATGGTGAACACTACAGAGGAAAGAGAATAGCAATAGATGAAAATATATATATAGAATTGAATAGTAGCTAATCACTGAATCTCTTGAAGAAACTTCAGAGATTCAGAATGTTTATATATATAAATGAGTAGCAATAGATTTTATTTCTAATGTTTTATGTAATGAGAAATTAGTAATATAGTGATCTGATTCTTCATAAAGTGCTGAATCTTAAGATGATGCTGATTCTTTAGAAGATGCTGATTCTAAAGTGCTTTGATAAGCAGTATGAGAAGATTCTTAGAGGACTGTTATCAACCTTGTTGCATTGTGGGACTCTAAGCGAGCTAGCTACAACTAATAAGTATATATAGATGCACGTGACCTCGGGTAGCCGGGGAATTCTCCAACACCTTTCTTATGCCACGATGAGTCTGAGCTTTGTCTTATCCCCTACTGAATGCCCTCAAATCTACAATAAAAATTAAATATAGAAATCAGATGCTAGTTTTCCTATTAGAAAAAGCTCTATTTCACCTCTGTACTATAACTTTGCAAAGAAAGTATACAATTAATCTCCTAATTCATATTCTCATTACATTTTCTTAGAAGCTGCAAAATCATATAAAATCAATCATTCTCATCAATGAGATCAGACCTCTGTCAATTCTATTTTCCTCACAAATTCATTGTAAGCTGGCTTTAGCAGAGACTTTGTAAATCCATCTGCTTTATTCACTATAGAATCTATATGTGAGAGTTTTATCTCTCTCTTCTCAACTAAATCATAAAGTATATGATAATGAATCTCTATATGATGAGATCTCTTTGTCAAGAACTTCCTCTTTGTCAGATCAATGATACTTTTATTATTCATCTGCAATGTTGTACAGATCTTTGACTTTCTTTTCATCAGGCCTGCATCTTGCAGCATATTATTCAATCAAATAAGTTTCTATGCAGCCTTACTAACAGTAATATATTCTGCTTCTGTTGTTGATTTTGCAGTTGATGTTTGATGTTGTGAGCATCATGATATTGAAAATCTATTAATCATGATAATGTAGTCAGATGTTGATTTATATTAATAGTCTGCATCTGTTCAATCTAAATCATAATAAGCAACTGACTATAGATTTCTATCATCTTCCTCATTTTTGTAAACTATTCTCAGAGCTTTTGTCTTCTTTACATAGTGAAGAATGTGCTTTAAGACTGCCCAGCAGTTTTTATTCAGGTGTGAGTTGAATCTTGACAGATAATTCACAGTAAATGTTAAATCTGACCTTGTGCTTGATATAAGATATTGAAGTGATTCAAGTCTATAATGATATTTTGAAGCTGTAAACTCATCTTTCAATTTAGCATCTCTCTCTGAGATGAATTCAAGTCATATATCTGTCATCATAGATGTGCCAGCAGAGTTAACCTTATTTATCTTAAAATCTTCAAGGATCTCTTCAATATAGCAAATCTGTGAGACTACTAAGTTATCATTTGACCTGCATTTGATCTTCATTTCAAAATAAGACTTGTCTTCTTCAATATCTTTTATGTCAAATTTCTTCTGTATTTCATTCAACACTCAATCTAATTTTGTCTCTTTGAAGTCTGTAATCATGCAATTATCAATATGCAGTATTATATAAATCTTGTAAATAGAATAAAATAGAAATTCTCTATCATATTTTGAAATTCTGAATCTCAGTGATGTGAGGTGCTCTGTTATCACAAAATATCAGGTCCTTGCAGCTTGCTTCATGCTATACAAGCTCTGTTTAAGAAGACTCACCAGTTTCCTCCTTTCATGTTTAATGCCTGTAGGTAACTGCATATAGATCATTTCATCCTATGGCAGTATATCATTTAAAAATGCTGACACATGTCAATCAACTTTGATTTCCAATTTCTGGTAGTTGATATAGTGAATAGAAAGTGACTTGTAGGCTCTGAGATAACTGCAGCATAGAATTTGAAGTAGTGAATGCTCTGCTGCTGCAGAAATCCTTTAATCACTCAGTGAACTCTAAAACAAATTGTCTCATCTCTATTATTCAACTTACAATCAAATATTCATCTGCTTATTAGTATATTTATCTCAGAGATCTTCTCAATAATAATGTATATCTTCTTATTCTCAAATGTTTTAACTTCTTTTCTCATTGTCTCAAGCCAGTGATTTCAATCTGGGCTCTTTGTTGCCTCTGCTAAATTATTTGAGTAATTCATAAACATGCTCAAAATAGAATTAGTATCACTGACAGATATCTTAGATTCATTATCCTTAACTAACTCTGTTTTATTGAGAAGATAAGCTGAATCAATAACATTCTTCAGATCATTATTAATCAATATCTTTAGAATCTCTAATTTATCTTTTGCTAATTGTTCTAGCAGACAGTGATATCAGTTATTCAAAAGATTGACAATATCTAATTTCTTTGGCAGTTTAATATTTTCTCTCATCATCTCAACAGCTTTACTCACAGCATTTACAGGAATAGATTCTATGACAAGATCTTTATCAAAAATAACATTTCTAGCAATCTCTAATTTGCATTCTTTTGAATCTTATATATGATATTGATGCAATTATTAATAACTCATCAATCATCACTTCTTGTTATCTGTTCTGTCTATGAGCTTATTTGTCACTTTTAGATTCTTTTTATAAATCTTGCATTCTCATCTGTGAATTCAATGAGCTGACAGTTGAATTTTTATTCAGACTTCAAAAGATGTCAATGAACTATCATCTTTACAGTCAAAAATCTTTATTGATGTAGAAGATATATTTATCAACATTACAGCTGTCTGTATTGCTTCACTTCAAAGTTCTCTGACAAGTCTACTATCAAATAGTAAACTTCTTGTCTTATTCATCACTAATCAGTTCACATATTCTGCAGAATCATTTGATTGAGATGTATCTGAAGTTGTCACTTTATATACTATTTCCTTATTCTTGCAAAATATCTTGAGATCATCACTTTTAAACTCTTCATCATCATCTCAGTGCAAAGTCTCTATAAACTGTTGAGATGTTGTCTCAATCATGTCAATGAAGTTCATGAGTGCTGATGTGACCTCTGCTTTTATGACAATCAAAATAATTCATCTAAAGTAAGTGATGTCATCTGTAATCCTCATTAAGTATCTTGTACCTTCTTCAGTGAGTAAATTTTCTTCATCATATAGTGTTTTTCCTCCTTCTGTAAGATTTACAAGAAATTTCATTGCTGATTTGACAGCTCTGCTCATTGAAACAAAGAATAGACAGGTCATTTTTGCTTGTACATATGTTTTACAGAATGACAAAGTCTTTTGATCTCTTATTCACATTTCTAGTCTAGAATCTATAGTCATTCTTGATATATTCACTGAATTTAAGTGACTCAGCTTTGGTGTCACTGTGTCATTGTGTATTTTAAAGTCTTGATGTTCCTTTTGAGCAGCTTTATTATAGGATCATCATTTGATTGCAAGACATATGCAGATTTAAAATCATCATTTAATATTGTAAAATGAATTATATCTATTAATGCTGGTGATTTCTTCATCATATAGATATTCTTTTCATTCAAATGTGCTGTGAAGTCTATCATCCTGTCAGGAGACATTATCAAAATTGAATGATTATTATCATACATCAATTGTTTGAAAGTATAATCTTTGCATACAAGTTTTCTGAGGCTCATTAGATTGATCTCCAGCTTTGAGATATAATGAATGTCATCTAGTTTGATATCTGATTTCTTAGTTGAGATGCACATCCTCTTTATATCTGCTACTGATGTTGTAGATTCATCTATCATCTTCAATATGACATTTATCCTTTAGAATATAACCTCAACAATATTCTTCAGAGGTATAGTGTAAGCTTCTGATCTGAAGTCTAGAACTCAAATATTCTCTATCACTTTATCACTGAAATAAATCATCTCTTTGGCAGAGAATACTTACTCTATAGTGTTATGAACTGAAGCAGTGATGTCTTTATTCTTGTTCTTATGTTTATTCTTTTCTTTAGAGTCTGTAGAGTAGTTTTTTAAATATTTTATTCAACAGTCAGTCATGAGATGCTCTGTCTTTTGATAATGATAACATGTCTTTTTCATGTTGTTGCTATTCTGTTTGAACTCCTTATCTTTGTCTTTATCTTTAGTTCTCAAATTCTTATTCTTACTTTTATTCTTTTTTTATAAATTTTGAGTATTATTTGTAGAATTTCTTGTATTTATCAAGACAGTGTTCTGTCCAGCAGCTGATAAACACAATAGAATATCTCAATACAGTTTCATGAAATCTGTCTCAATATCACAGGTGTTGACATTTTTTTCAGCATGATTCATTCTATCTCTGATGAACAATGCTCATTCAGCACTAACATCAGTTAACAAGTGATCAAAAAGAATAAAATCTTCAATTTTATATCTCAAATGAGTATATTCAGTCTGAATAGTAATCAGGCATTCTATAAAAACTCTATTTGAGTCTTTTGTCTTAGCTGTCAAGCTAATCAGTTTCTCAAAAAGACAGATGCAGTGAACTGCAAGTCTCTTTGAGAAGTTCTCTTTTAGAATTACTTATAGAATATATGCTGACAACTGATAATCTGAGAGTATCAGAAAATGAGATCTTGCTTGCAGATAGATTGAAAACAACATATGATTATAGAGTCATATATTTCTTTCAGTTCAAAAATATTGCATATTCATACTAACATCATCCTCCAGGGCAGATTGCTTCTCATTGAGAATATTATTAATTTCAAATTGCTTAGTGATCAGTATCATCTCTTCTCTTCATATTGAATAGTTTATAAAATCAATCAGAATGACAGATTTCTTAATGTGCTTTACTTAATTTCTAAATTCAGTTAAGATCTTCATTATGACAGTAGTTCTGTCTTTTTTCTATAGATAGTTTGCAAGATCTTCACTCATTTCATTATCACTAGTATTGATAATGAGTGTCTCCTTGCTAGCTCTTATCATTTCAACTTCTCACTGAAGTTTTGCAATCTCTAATCTCATCAGAGTTTCTTCATTAACTCCTGATACCTGGTTACTAGGGTCAACTGTATTCTCTGACATTTCGTCAATCAGGTCTTCATATGCATTATTAGACTTGTTTGATTCCTTCAAAATTGTCTTATCTATTTCAAATGCTTCAGAGACACTTCTACAGATTGTAATAGATGTAGACAGTGAATCTGCAAGCTCTGAAGTTCTATTCTCCAGAGTTCTATTCTCAGATTCTTAGTTTTATCTTCCTTTTGACATGTATTCTTCTGTCCAATCTGGCATTCCACTCAAACATACATTGACCATCAATGTCATTTAATTATTGTTTACATTTTTTCTCATATTGTTTGTAGCTGTTCGTTTGCATATTGTTCACAGTGAAAGACCTCTAATTCAAGAATCTCATAATCTCTAAGAAGACTGTTATTAATCTTGTTATTCTGTGAGACTATTAAGTGAGCTAGCTACAACTAATAAATATATATATGTGCAAGTAACCTCAGGTAGCCGGGGAATCCTCTAATATCTTTTATAATAACTGTATCAAAGTTGATATAATATAAAAATTCTTATAGATCACGATGCCATAGGCACTTAAAGTGATAAAATATACTCATATTAATATTACTAGCAGTAGCAAAATACTCAATGACATAACAGATCATCTCATTAAATCATATCAGAGGATGAAATATTATATACTTATAACAGATAATGTTATCTATTATAGATAAATAAATTTTTTGTATGTGAAGGACCAAGCTGTTGATTTTTATGAGCATTGAATTCAATTCATAAAAAAACTCAATTTTATCTTATCTATATATATTAAAATAGATATCAATAGTATTTCTACTGTAATAGAATATCAACAATAATAATCAGTTAAAAATGATTTGAGAATTCATTATCTCTCAATTTTTTTATTAAAACAGCATATCAAAATGCAGTATTTGTATGATTATAATATGTACTAATCGTGCTGCTGCACAATCTACACCTCATGTGAGTGCATCACATCAAAATGATAAAAATACTAAAACAATAAAAATCTTGCAATTTTCATCATCTTCATCATTTTCATCAATTAATAACTCATAACAATATCAAATAAAGATAAAAATATCAAAGATCATATTCAAAAAGCTGTCACTTATCATCAAAAAAACTCAAATTTCAAAATACTGTCTTTGTCACAAGAATTTGAGATTCTTTATCAATGTCTCTAAGTATGTATCAATAGAAGAAATCTAAATACTACAAAGATTTCAATTAATAAGAGATTAAATAAGAGTCAGAAGGATGTGATTAAACAATGAGTCAAGCTGCTTGATAAAAAGAATTGTCCTCCTACAGTCAAGCACATTGAAGATTTCATGAATTCAATACTCAGACATCAGCACTTAGATTCTACTACCTCCCCTTCAAAAGTCAGCAAGATGTGAATTTATAGGTTCATTGAATACCTACATAAGTATAAGAGAGTGAAACAGAAGTCAATAGATTCAAAGAGAGTGGCAGTTGAAGATATTGAATATATCAATATATGATTTGAATATCTTTGAATTCTATTTGAGCAGTATCATTTTCACACCTATAACACATACAACTTCAATGGGATTGAATTTTAAGAAGGACAAGGATGTGGAAAATAAGTTATAACTGCTTTTAAAGAAGCTAATTCCATCATTTCTTTATCCTTTTCAAGAGGTTTGATTACAGTCATTGAATATGTATCTATGGATAATCATGTTATTCTACTATTGATAATCTTAGCCTTCAAAACACACTTGGAGAATTGATATACACAGACAGATTTACTCAGCAATTATAGAATTGCTATATCAGATACTGAATTTACAAATGATGAGATTGAATTTGAATGACTCAAACATTTCAATACTGCTACAGAAAAGAGACAAGAGGGAAGTCATCAATTACTTTTAATGAATAATCATGAATCTCATAAGTATCACTGAGAAGTTTATACAATACACAGATCTTCATAAGATAATTCTATATGAATTTTTATTGCATATTATTCATTTGCTACAATCTCTGGATAGTTTATCATTTTAGCAATATAAGCATTATCATTCAAAAGCAGTCAACTATGCTGCATGTCATAGTCTTGTTAAGTATGAAAAAGAGCAGTTCCTTTAAACCTGATACAATAGCTGTAGAATGAGCTCAATATGACATATATTCATGAAATCCTGACTGAGTTCTTGACACTCTTAAGCAGTGAATCTCATCACCTCCTTCACTGCAGATTTATGAAGATGAGAATGATTCAGATCACATATCTATCTCTTCTTCTCAGCTATTCTCACCAAAGACAATTCAAAAGCTGAAACATTATATTAATATTGCAAAATATGCCATACAAAGTATTAGAGATACTCTTGAATTGAAATCACTCATCTTGATATATTGTTTAAACAAGATATTCAAAGCAAGTCTACTGTATGCAGAACTTAATGAGCAACAGATCACTGAATTAATGAACTTTCTGAATGTCAGCAAATGCTACAGAGCTAAAATAATCTGTCATCAGATTCAAGTAGAGAGAGTTCTCACTATTAAAGATGTCAATAGAAAATTCAAGCATTGTAAGAATAATGAAGTTGAAAAAGAGCAGAATAAGAAGTGATGAAGACTTGAAGTTGATCTCATACAAATTGACAATAATTCACTCACATCACTGAAAGAAGAGGAATTAAATCAATTTAGAAATGATACATATACTGAGAATGATGTAGATAATCTTTTTATTATAGATTAGCTACTGATTGTTGATATAAAGTGCAATAATGAGAATGTGATTCAAGATTTTTATCATTTTGATGTTTTTATCATTTTGATGTGGTGCACTCACATGAGGTGTAAGTTGTGCAGCAGCACGATTAGAGCAGTCATTGATAAGAATATTTCTATAAAGTTTTGAGTAAATATCTTAAATATGATAGTAGTGATCACAAATAATACATCTATATTCACTGTTCAATATAATTTAAAATTTTGATCTACAGATATTATAGATAAATTGCAGTCTATACACTGTTTTTATACAATTTCATTCTCTGCACTTCTAAATATCTCATCTGAGATTTTGCACTTCTATGAGCTCAGGTCAGATATTTATACTCATCTTCACAGATCACAGAAGCGCATAGATAAGCTGTCTATTAGACAAAATTGTATAAATTTATTGAGTTTCATGATAAGTTAATCTTTCAATTATAGAGTTCTGTGATAGACAAAATGTTGATCACTAGTGATGTGATTTTTCTCTCAAAAGAGTGTATAAATGAAACAAAAGATGAAGAATCAGTGTCTAAATCTGAGATATAAGAATTCTCTAATTCTACAATCTACTTGATTGAGAATGATAAAGTTCTCAAAATTGAAGACACTGAATAGATCAGACTTATAAAACCATTTACTATACACATTTTTTCCTCTATCACAGAATTTTTGCTGAAGATATTCAAAAATGCTGTAGACAAACCTAGGGAATTAAAATATTATTGAAAGAAATCAATAAAATATGAGATTGCAGATTTCAAACAGTGAAAAATCTGAACTCTGATTCTGAGATCTGATATCTCTGCAAATGAATTAGTGGTATCAGACTGTTGAATCTTTGTTGAAAAAAATTACTCAAATAATTTTAATGCTAATTCAAATAGAATATTATGAAAATCTCACTGAGTAGCTTGCAGTAATTGATTAAAAAAGAGATTTTGTGAAGAAACATATGTTTCTATGATTAATGATACTATGAATCAGATAATATTTGTGATCTCTACAAAGAAAGATTGAACACTATGCCAAGTTGATATTATTGTAATGACATATCTTCATGACTGACTTGAACAAATAATTTATATAAAACAACTTATTGAATTTGAAGCAGAAGCTTCACAGACATTGATTTATGTTGTTGAAAAATTTCTATATAAATTGAATCTGACAGTGAAAATTTGATACAATTATTTGACAGCTTTATTGCATGAAAATGAGTTTAATTTCATTCTTCTATGATTCTGCTCTATAACAACATATGATCTATAGACATCTCTATATGACAATCTACATTGATAATCTTCATATAATGATGGAAGAATCTGCAGATATCAATTGATTGATAGATATGTTAGCAAGCAAGCTAGAGATCAAAGATCTCAAAGAGTTATCAAAGTATTTATATATGAAGATTAAATGTCAACAGAATGGCAGGATCAAATTAACATTGAGACAGTATATCAATCATTTGATGCAAAATTTCCATCTGGAAGATGCTGTCACTGCCTGTATATCAATAGAAGAAGAACTTTAAATTGACAACTTCTCTGTCTTTGAAAAAGAAGCCAGCTTTACAAAGTAACATTATCAACACAATGTTGACTGCTTGCAATATCTTATAGTCAAATTACATTCAGATATCACTCATGCAGCATCTCTTCTGACACAGAAGAATGTTGCTTCCATCTTCAAAGTGTGAAAAGCTCTACTTCATGTCATATAATATTTGAAAGAAATTAGCAATCTAGGCATCTTATATGAAGTGCCTGATGATGAACATACTGAGTTCCCAAATACTACATTTATGCTCATTAAATATATAAATTCTGATTTAGTAGAACCTTTGAATAACAATTGAAAATTTATATCAAATTTCAATTTCTTGCTGATAAGTGCTCTGATTTCATGATAATTCTCTAAACAACCTTGCATCTCTTTGAGCTCTAATGAAACTAAATATGTGACACTTAGTGAAGCTGTACATGGCCACGGCTATGTGAATTCATAATATGATGTTGGATATGAGATTTATTATGAAGAACTCTTTGCAAATTAAGACAGATTATTAATAATAGCTTGATTGATCTCATTATCATGACAGTAATTACTGCATGTACCAAGCATATCAACACTAGATATCACTATTTCTGTACACAGTTGAATGAGAGAGTGATTTTAATTGATCATGTTTCTACAGAAGATATGACAGCAGATGAACTTATAAAATCTCTAAGCATAGTGATATTTAAACATTTTATTAACTTGCTGAGTCTTTCACAAGGAAATTAGTTTATTCTAGTAAAATTTTGTAAGTGTGTTTCAATTGATATCTAGAATAGAATAGCTAGATTTTGAATACACAGAGAATATAATATCTCATACATTGATGTGTTAGAGGGTGTTGAATATGTATTGTCCGGGCGGCCGCCCTGCTGCATTATGATATAGTATATATTAGATAGGTTGCTAGGTCTCTCAATATGAGACATTCAATTATTTCACACAATCTCATCTGACTAAGCAAATCTGACATTAGACAAAAGAAAGAAGTAGAATTAGTATTGATTGTAACTAAGTCTTCAAAACAGACAAAAATCTCATCACTTTTCATAGCTGTGAAGAGCAAATCATGATCTCACATCACAATTAAGTGCAAGAGTTGCAAGGAAAATCACACATCAACAGCTTCAATTTGCTCTTTCTATTCAAAGAATAAAAGAGGTGAAGTTTCAAAAGAGAATTGAAGAGATAAAACAGTCTCTAATAAGAATAAAGCAAATTCTCAGTCAAGAAGTAGATCTAAAAGAAGAAATTCTCAAGTAGAGAGAGATCATCAGAAAGTAAGTCTCTAGTAAAAATAAAACAGACTGTCAATTCAACTACTCCTACAAGAACAATTAAATTTAGATCTCAGAAATTGATTTCTATGAAAACTGTTGTAATCACTAATAATAGTGAATTACAATGCTAAAAAGAGAAATTTTTGTTTATATAGTTATTTGAATGTTTATTACAATTAAAAAAAAAAATAAAAAAATTAAAAATTCTCTTCTAAAATTACAATTTTACAAAATAATGTAGGAAGAAGTGATATTCCTTCCTATTCATTGTTGTCTAAATACAGCTTTTGTTCAGAAAATTGATTTCATTCTAATACAAAAAAGAAATCTAGATACTGAACATCAATTTCAAATTTCACATTCTAACAACTATTATTATTTATCAGAGAAAACTCAAGTTAAATCTAGAATAATTAAGTTCTAGAAAAAGTTCAAGATTTCAATTCAATTTGTGATATGACATGATTTCATATTCTGATATTCTGGTTGATGATATTACAAATAAATTTAATCAAATTGAATCTATTCAGCTAGTTAATATCTTTAATGAGAAATCTTTACAGAAAAATGATAGTAGCTGAACAGTGAATAGAGCTAGCTCTTCTTGACTTATCAGTAAATAAAAGATCAATTATAAGTGAAGATTTTAATACTCATCACTCATGATGAAATGATGACTACACTCAGTCTATAAGAGCAGACAAATTGATAGATTGATTGATCTTGAAAGAATTTGAATTAATTAAAGAATTTGACAAAGAAACATACTATAAACAAAATCTATTAAAAAAGTCAATAATAGATATAACCTTTTTATCTAAAGAACTATATGAGAAAAGAGTGTGGAATTGATTTATTAATTTTGAAGAAGTATCAGAATTAGATCATGAAGTTGTTCAATTCAATATATAATTAGATGATAATAATGAAGTTAGATCTATTATTATCTAATCAATATAACTTTGAAAAGCTCAATGAACAGAGGTCATACATAAATCACAAAAAAAGTCTTGAGAGAAAAAAATCAAGAAAAGCTTTCATGAGATATTAATGCTAAATTATCAGAGTCTATATTAGAGAATAAAATAGTATTAATAACTAATATTATATTATCAAGTATTAAAGATAATATATTCAAAAAGAATCAATCAAACTACTCAAAATTCTGATGATCTGAAACTCTGATTGATTAATAAATACAAAGAACAAGCTAAAACTAGAAAAGATTAGAAAGAAAAGTTGATATCTGTGAACACATATAAAGACATCAAAAACATCTACTTTTTTAGTATCAAAAGGGTAAAAACTGAAATGCTGAAATGATTTTCTTGAAAATACAGAAATAAAAATATTTTTATTTCTTTTAACTAACAAAAATCTAGAGAAATAGTAAAGCTTTCCACATTAAAATATGAATATCAAAATCCAGATTATACTGCTAATACATTTCAAGAAAAATGTCAAGTATTTACAAAAGTTCTATTTTCAAAGTCAATAGAATCTGAGAAATACATTCCTATAAATAAATATCATGATGATAGAACAAAGTGGAAGTGATCTGACTTAATAAAAGATGAGCTAGAAACAGCTATTTTCACTAGATCTATGAAAACAGCAGCTGGACCTGACTTTATAAATCACTTTATAATACAAAAAGTGTAATTTGAGCTAAAGAAGAACTTTTTGCATTATTCTTCTTGATGAAATATGAATATCATTCAGTATGTTGAAGAGAGGCAGCAGGAGTTATTCTAGCAAAGTCTAATAGAAATTTATCAATTTCTAAATTCTATAGAGTCATATCTCTATTGAACTGTTTAGGAAAGATTTGAAAAAAAATTATTAGCTTTAGACTGTCATATCTAGCTACTACTACTAATTTACTATATAATAATCAAATAGATAGCAGAAAATTAAATTCAGCTATAAATGCAGTTCTATCAGCTATTCATGATATTCAAATAGCTAAAAATGATGGTCTGATTTCAACTGCTGCATTTATTGA